AATGTTCATTGTTCTACATGCTCTGACATTCTTGCAATGGCACACAAAAACACAGCAATAATGAATGCTGGCTCTGTGGCTGTAGCACAGTGGTTACAACGCTGGCCACATGTACCAAGACTAGTGAGTTCAAACCCAGCTCAGGCTAGCTAAACAATGACCACTGCAACAAAAAAAATAGCAGGACATTGTGGCCGACATCTGTAGTCCCAGCTACTTGGGAGGCTGAGGCAAGAGAGTTGCTTAAGTCCAAGAGTTTGAGATTGCTGTGAACTGTGACACTACAGCACTCTACTGAGGGCGACAAAGTGAGACTGTCTCAAAAAAATTAAGTAAATAATGGATGCTGTCCAGCAACACACTACCACACACTAACACAAACACAACTGAGTCAAGGATTTGAGTATAGTAGCTTATATATGAAATGAAATGAGCATTGGTAGGGAGGTAGGGAAGTGAGATGGCAGGGAAGGTGCATCACCTAGCAAGTTGGGCAACTGAGAGTAATCTAACTTGGGAACAGGGAGAAGCAGTACAGAACATACCCTCAGCATACCCACTTGAGTGTGAGGGACCAGGACTGCCCAGGCCAGGTGTCTGCAGACTCTTTCCATAAAGGGCCAGATAGTAAATATTTACTTTTCTGTACTCTGTCACATATTTTGGTTTGCTTTTTTTGTTTTATATAACCTTTAAAAATGTTAAAACAGTGTTAGCCCATGGACTATGCAAAAATCCACAGGCTGTATTTGACCCATGGGCTATTAAACTTGCTCACTTCTAATTGATTCAGTAGCAATGTTAACCACTGGTTGAGGGCTCCTTTCAGGTAGCATTAATTCCCAGAACTTGTGGCCTTTCTTAGGTAGAGTGGCCTCTAATAACAATAGGACACTTAGGCAAAAAGGTTCAAGTGCTGGCAATTGGTAGTTGAGCTGTCATGCCCAGGAATAAGATCAGAGGGGATTAAGATAGGGCACTAGTGGCTTCTAGGGATGGCTTGGGTGGCCAGATGCAGGGAGCAAGCTGTATAGGCAGTGCAGCAGAAAGCTGTGCAGTATATAGCCAAGTAGGACTTCAGGGATACCAGTCAGGAAAGAGCAAGAGAGGAAAGCGTTGATACTAATGCACCCAGTAAGCCATGCTGGGTGGACTTCAGTTCCATACCAAGTTAGGAGATAAAAAGTGATTTCAGGGGTAGAATCAGGGAATTCAGCTATACTAGTGTGCGACTACAGGTGAGAGTTGCTAAGTCTAAGTGTAAGCCATGGAGATGGTGAGACATGATTGATTCTAGATATATTTATTTTAAGGCAGAACCCTGGTGGAGGGAGGGGGATTGAAAGGATCACTTCTGAGGTTTATCTTACAAGGGTACAAGTGAATCTTTCTAAGAGCAGAATGTGAACGTTTTAAAATAATAACTAAGAAAATGACACGAAGGCTATGTTAACCAGTTTGATGGAAGTGTTTCGGAATGTGTGTGAAAACCCCACACTGTACCCTAGAAGTG